ATTTTTCTGCTATTTTTTTTCCTGAGATAAAGACTTATAGTTTCACATGGCAAAAAAGAGCCCCTAGGGTATAATTAAAGGAAAAGCAGTCATTATGTTAAATTCCAAAGCAATAAAACCCTCTGCCTTTTAATTTGCAATGCCAACCAGAGTCCAATGTATTAAAACACATATACAGGGTGTGGCAAAAGTAGACTTACAGTTATTCATATAGATAATTAAGACAATACAAAAATAAACTCCATGTTGTGCTTATAACTGTAAACCTAATTTTGCTCCACCCTGTATATTAGAAAACTGTTTAAAAGTAAATGGAAGTGTTCAGATAGATAGTTTATGTGTTAAAGGAGCAAAGTAGAGAATTCCCGATGTGGCTGGGAGGCATTTGTGACTCCTCCATATTTTCATGTACTTTGGGTTTAATATCTACTACTTCTACCTACACATCCATAATAAAGATCTGGGCATTTTCATAAACCACAATAATGTTCTAAAAAGAAGGAAACAAAAGGAAACCAAAATAAAGTATTCAGATAAGAGTTATGCAGGTTTAGAAGACTACAGTAATCTTACTTGCTTCCTTTCTTTTAAAAAAAAATGTTTTTTAATTGATTTGAGAGAGAGGGAGAGGGACAGAAACATTAATGATGAAAATCATTAATTCACTGCCTCTTGCACAACCTCTACTGGGGATTGAGCTCGCAAACCAGGCACGTGCCCTGACCAGGAATTGAACTGTGACCTCCTGGTTCATGGTTCAGTACTCAACCACTGAGCCACACCAGTCACAACGGTTTTTGTTGTTAATCCTCATCCAAATATATTTTTTCCATTGATTTTTTTAGACAGAGTGGAAAGGAGGGGGAGAGACAGAGAGTGAGAAACACTGAGGTGACACATCCATTGGTTGCCTCCTGTACACGCCCTGACCAGGGCAGGGATCTGAGCCTGCAACCGAGGTATGTGCCCTTGACCAGAATTGAACACAGGATCCTTCAGTCCATCAGCCGACATTTCAACCACTGAACCAAACTGGCTAGAGCTTGGGCAATCTTATTTGCTTTCATTAGCTCACAAGTAGTAAAAAGAAAGGATCCATAGAAGATATAGAAACAATCAAATTAGTTCACAGGTAGCAATAAGAAACAACCAAATAGAAAATATCTAGCACAATATTTGAAAGAAAAGCTATCATCTTTTATACTAGAATATGGTCATATTCTTGGGGGAAATATTAATGTAATAAAATCAACATATACTTGTCTAACATGCCATTTCTATACAGAGAAATCTCACTAGCTGCTGAATACCAAAAAAAGCTAGAATAAAATTTAAAACCAAATAAAGATAAGGAAAAAGTGAAATTCTATAGGGTAATTTAGCTCTGGAACTTGTAATTGTCCTAAAGGCATCTCTGCCTCCCTGCAGCCAGAAGGACCCGTCTTAAGGAGCTATGCCTGTATCGGGGACAAGAATCATGGTCTGGGGCAGTATTAGTCTCCTCTGGCTGCCACAGTAAAATATCACAGAGGGCATAGCATAAACAAATATTTATTTTCTCATAGTTCTGGAGGAAAGAAGTCCAACAATCAAGGTGTCAGAAAATTCCATTTCTAGTGAGGTCTCTCTTCCTGGTTTGCAGATGGCCACCTTTTTGCTGTCATATGACCTTTCCCCTGAGTGTGTAGAGTGTACTCTGTTGTCTCTTCCTCTTCTTATAAGGACACCAGTGCTAAAAGATTAGGGCCCCACCCTTATTACCTCATTTAACCTTAATTATCTCCTTAAAGGCTCTATCTCCAAATGTAGTCACATTGGGGGTTAGGGCTTTGACATATACATTTTGAGGGACAGAATTCAGTTCATAACAGGGACTGAGGTGGATGAGCAACAGGATTGGGGAATCTCCATAGGGAACCACTTTCAGTGAGTGAACTAGGAAACCATCTAAATTTTCTCTTCTTTCCTTGAAGTAGAGCTGGGAAGGGGGAAACAGTCTCCTCTAGGAATGCCATTCATGGCCCAACACTATGTTTAAGGATGAAATTCACACTACTTCGAAGTGTGTGTGAGAGTGCATGTGCATGTGCTGAAGAACAGGGGAGGGAAAGGCGGGAATCCAAGGTGAACATTGACTTTGAAGTGGCCCAGGGTTAGCAGTGTCACAAGAAACAAACCGGTGGTTCTAGAAAGAGAAATCTTCTCTGTGTAGAAACATACTTTAAACAAAAAATTCCCTAAAATCAAGTAAAAAGGACTATGAACTCACAGTCCAAATCACTGATCACATTAGAAAACAAATCATCATAAACTTGTTTCGGAAAAAACAGCAAACAACAAACTGTAGAGTCAGATCCACAAAAAAAGTGCATTTTATATGTTTAAGGAAAAGAAAAAGAGGGAATAATGGAACTATCCCAAATGACCAGGAAAGTATGAGGAAGAACCAAACAACACTCTGGAAATGAAAGAAAAAACACACAACCATAATTTAAAAAATTATAGGTCAAGTAGGTTAGAAACAGTGAGAAGAAAGAATGAGTGAAGTGAGCAACAGAGTTAAAGAAACTATCCAGAATTTACAGGGATGGTCAAAATTTCACACAGAGACAGAGATAGAAAATATGAATCAGAGATAAGGAGAACAGTGAGGCAGTAAAACCTAAGTCTAATTTGATACCTGAAAGGAGAGAATAGACAGAATGAAGGAAGTACAATATTCAAAGAGATAAAAGTTGAGCCCTAACCTGTTTGGCTCAGTGGATAGAGCATCGGCCTGCGGACTGAAGAAGGCTCCCAGGTTCGATTCCGGTCAAGGGCATGTACCTTGGTTGCGGGCACATCCCTGGTCAGGGGTGTGTAGGAGGCAGCTGATAGATGTTTCTCTCTCATCGATGTTTCTGACTCTTTATCCCTCTCCCTTCCTCTCTATAAAAAAAATCAATAAAATATATTTATTTTTTAAAAAGTTGAGAATTTTTCTAATTTATGAAAGATACAAATTTGTAGATTCAAAAAGCTCAATGAATCTGAACAGGATAATTTCAAATACTGAGAACAAATGACTGTCAACCCACGTAGCTAATTTTCAGGGATAATGAAATGGTAAACTTGTAGGTAAATGTAAATAAATATTGACTGCATAATTATTTTTGGAGTTAAACTGAGATAAAATAAATTCTAGATGCTAATTTTAAGTTGAGGGGGAAAATCAGGCTTTGTTCAAAAGTCTCTTATGTTTAGAAAGAAAAATAAAGATTTTATGCTAACTGCAAATTAAATTGGTAAGCACTAAAAGATAAAAATTGAGGGTTTTTTTTACCTTCTAAAATAGTAGAGAAAAAGTAAATGGAAAAAAAAACATACAACTTAATCTGAAAGAAGGCAAAAACCCTCAAAACAACCCACAAGGGCAGTAAGGTAACAGAAAAAGTATAACAAAAATTATAATAAGATGACATAAGTAAACCCTAATATAGTAGTAAGTTCAATAAATATAGATTGATCAAACTCTCCAGGTAAAAGATAATCAGATAAAAAGAAAGAAAAATCACAGTTTTTAAGAGGCACATCTAAAACATAACAGAAAGGTCCAACAGAAGGATAAAGAAATACATATCATACTAATATTAACCAGCTGGTATGGCCTATATATTTGTTAAAGCATAGATTTTTAAAGCAATGTAGAATGAAATAAAAACATTATTAGGAATAGAGGTCATGACTATGAATACAAAACTCAATTCTAAACTTGGAAGATAATTCTAAATTTGTATGTACCTAATAACAAAGCTTCAAAATATACAAAACAAAAACTTACAAAATTACAGGGAGAAAAAAATAAAAAAAATTTCAACACATCTTAGAATCTGAGTGATCAAATAGAAGGAAAAACAACAGTGAAATGAAGACAATTTGAAAAACACAATTAAGAAGTTTGGTCTAACAGACACCCAACAACTGGGAAATATTCAGACTTTCAAGCACTAAGAAAACATTTACAAAAACTGATCAAATATAGGTCATAAGGAAAATAACAAATTTTGCCATATCAACTTTATATGGACCCATCTCTGACCACTATCCAATTAAAGCAGATATCAATAATGAGAACAGAATTTAAAAATCTATAAGTTAGGAAATGAAACAAAAGTAGCACATATGTAAGTCAAAAAAGAATCATTATGAAAAATAGAAAACACTTAGAACTTAAAAAACAAAATATTTCTATAGGACTTAAGCATTATTCAAAAGAAAATCATCGTGTGAGCTACACAGAACCCCTCTTATCTCTGCTCAACGGCATAAACAGCAAAAATGTTGTAAATTATGTAATTACCATATAAAAGTTAATATACATGTATAATACATATAAAAAGTGATTTGTAGATTCAGAAATATAAATGAAAGTGCTCACTACTAGAGTATTAAAAAGGAGGCAAACCAACCATCTCTTTTAGAAGTTATACTGAATAGCTAAAGAGAGAAGTTGGTATCTTAAATGTTTAAAGGTCAAAAAGCCAATTATTTCATTTTGGTTTAAGAAGTCCCTTAGATCCTTATATAGTATATACAAACTCATATGGTAAAGTACTTATTATTCCTATGAGATGGACAAATACTATCAGAAATCCTTGTTGCACCAGTTGAGTAACCACAGTTAAGAATACATTCCTGCTCACACAGTCCTGATTTCTTGGTTATAGAGTCTATTCAATGGTGCATTGGCAATTAATAGCATTCCAAAAACTGCCTACGGTACAAAGGGAATTTTCATTTAAGGCTCCCCTTGCTTTTCATGTGTGGGATATTTTTGAAAGTATGCGTTTTTTTCCATCCACTGAAAGAGAATTAAGAAAATTCCAACATGCCTCTGTGTCAGCAAGAGCCCTTTTGAGTCCAGGTACCAGAGGATGATTGATGAACCTGTCAAGCCTACAGTAGCGGACAGAGAAAGTTGGCAGAAGTTCAGTGTTATTGAAAGAAATCTCAAATACTTATTTCATCTCCTCTATTAACTTTAATCACATTTTCAACATGCAGCCAAGAATGCAGCTTTGACAGTACGCCATAAATTTACACAAGCCAGCATTGTCACTTTCTGCTCTAGTAAGACTGAGATACATGAGAGAGTTGGATATGTTCTTTCAGTGCCTTTCTTTATTGAAGAGCAATAAAAAACATTTGAAAGATTTATCCATACCTTAAATTCATTTGCTATAAACCTCTTGAAATATTGCATTTGTTATTATTTTTTTAATATATTTTTATTGATTTTTTACAGAGAGGAAGGGAGAGGGATAGAGAGTTAGAAACATCGATGAGAGAGAAACATCGATCAGCTGCCTCCTGCACACTCCCTACTGGGGATGTGCCTGCAACCAAGGTACATGCCCTTGACCGGAATTGAACTTAGGACCTTTGAGTCCACAGGATGACGCTCTATCCACTGAGCCAAACCGGTTAGGGCTTAAAATATTGCATTTAATTTTGCTTTGTTTACGGCAAATAAAAAATAACTTAGTTCCTCAATTACACTGTCAAGTGCAGATTTTTAAAGCTCACAGTGATGACTGAGTTGGTACATGTTTCATCATAGTACACCTGCTTATGAGAACAGACGCTAAACACTAAAAAGGATTTACATTTAACATGGATTATTTGCCATATGGGCAATTACTTCTGGCATATTCAGAGCCAGAATAATTGTATGATTCCAGAGGAACTCCTTGTTGATTTTGCTGATTACTCATTACACAGTTGAAACATTTTAGAGATTATTTGTCTTACAAAGCTCACCCACAGCAAAAGAGACACAAAAATGAGGTAAATACTATGGGCAAGATTATGGTTCTTAGAAAGGCTAAAAGTCAAACTATATTTTTGGTAAGCTTTTCCTTCTAAGCATGTTTTAAAAGCTGAAAGTATGAAGTGCTGGAAGGCCACAAAACTTCATAAGTGTGTCTTGTCATCAGTGAAACACATGGCATTATGCTGCACTGCAGACTCTGTAACCTTTCAGCAGTTCAACGACCAACAGGGCCACCTTTGCTGCAGTAGAGAGTGTTTTACTCTCACCTCTCATAAAGGTGATCTCTGTTCCAAGGACCATTGTTTTTGTCTACATTACTGATGGAATAACACTCTACACGTTCTTCCAATAGCCAAGGAGGCTAAAGCAGGCAACTATTATATCTGCTTTCTAAGCCACAATAATAAGCTAATATTAACCCTGTATAAGAATGAAATTATTTTTCTAAGAGGTCTATACTTACAGTTCTCTGAGATAATCAATAACAAAGACGACCAATTCTGATTAACAAAAAGTAAATTTATCCAATTTTTCTTCCTACTCTTGCCCAAATAATTATACATAGGCACTTAAACAGGAAAGATATAGCACTCTTCTTCCACTAAACATTTAATTAGTACTCCAGTAGAAGTTTCTTTCTCCTGATATGAATGTCACTAAATATATTGCTAAGCTTGAAGCAGAGGCTAAATGGTTTGATGAGAATAGTTAGTTCTTTGGGGGAAGTCAATGCTTTCACACCGTTATGGTTCAAGTTCTCAAAAGGTTGAAAATTTTCCTAGGTCCTTCTTCATTTCAGCATATTGTTCTTTAAGCCTCTCCACAGCTTTTCTGTGCTCTTCATCCACTTCAGCCTGTTTGTTGTGTTGTTCTTTCATGAAATCTTCCCACTGGATTATATGCTGGTTTTCACTAGCTATTATATGGTCATTATAAATCTGAGAAAAGAAAATTTGAAAGTCATGTGACATTTTCCAGACAATTATTTTTCTATGCAGAAGAGACAAACATAACTTTAACTCTTGATATTTGGTTACTATAGCAATCACAGCTTGAAAATCACAATGATAAAACTGCATTATAGTTTTAATGTCCAACAAGAACATGACATATTAGAAAATTACTATGACTGAACATGGGTATCCACATTGTCGAAATTTCAAAAATGTCTAGTATTGTTAAATGACAAAATCAAATACAATTCAAGTAAATTTTCATACCTCTATTTCTCCTCAAATACCATTTAACTGCATATAACTTTTAAATCAAGCTTAAAGAATATATGCCAAAAATGATTATTATAAGAAATTAAAATGTATATCTTACACAAAATATTTCTTTAAATGCATTAAAAATAATTATGCATTGTTAGTCACTCAAGAAATCTCTTCTGGTTCAGTTCCATTCCTTAAAGCAAACAAACTCCAAAAGCATTGCTGTCAAATATTTGGAGATGCCCCTTAATATTTCTATATGAGAATAAAATTTTTGCTTTTGAGGACCACAACAAGAGATGAAACAATGTATAAGTAAAAAAGGCATAAATTTAGTATAATTTCAATTATTATCTTTGGTTTTTTTTTCAATTATTATTTTTGAATATGTACAACAATGAGCTAAAGAGAGCATGAAAAATAACTTTATATCTCTGCCTCAAATATTCTACATACAACTTTAGAAGTTAAGTTTTGAGACAAGCTAAGTCCTATTCAACAAACAAGCAAAATGTGATGATGCAAACCATAGAAACCTACAAAACACCTAAAGCCATTACTAATTCCAGCACACTAATGTAGACACCTGGTGTACTTATGTACTGGTAGCTCAGCTGCTGGAAGAGAGCTATAGGAAAAGATAAAACCAGGTTTTCATGCGGCCCATAAAGTCCTTGCTGCCTTACTTTCTCTCTTATCTGGGACATGATGAGAAGCAGGAGGAAGAGCTGGATAAGCCATCACGTTCTAAGTATTTATGAAATGCATATTTCTGTTAGCTGTTTTGTGTATCTTATCTACTTCTATAAACCTCTCTTACACGGTAACATTATTCTCATTTTACAGACGAAGAAATAAAGGCTTAAGGACACTAAATTTACTTCTCTATGGTCACTCAGCTATGAAGTTGCAGAGTCTCACTTAAGTCTTTCTAACATCTATGCCTTTTCTATCACAAACTGTAAATCAGATCTTTCCAGAGGAAGGTCTACATAGGTAGCTAAAAGTCTCTTTCACAAGACCAAATAAAAAAGGCTATTGCAAGAGCTTTTTCTGCCAATTCTACGTGAAGTTCCTCAGCACAGAGGCTTCTCAAGTAAAAAGAGGGTGAGGGTCTGAAGTTTGAGTTATAGTAAAACATTAGCCTAAAATATGTCCCATAGACTCTTGGAATTTAAATAGGTATTACAGTGGTGAGGAGGGAAGGTTAAGGAGGGTTTTACAGATCCAATAAAGTTGGGAAGCAGGTTAAGCAAAATCCAAAACATTACTTTTTAACTTTTTAGCCTCATGGATTGTAATTGTCCAAAATATACATAAAATAAATTATTTTCATATAACTTTTGCACTATTAAATGAGAAAGCCATTAGACTAAAAAGAAAAGACAAAGGCAAATAAACTTCCTTAAAACGGTATCTTGTTTTAGCTGTAAATTAATTTTTAATAAATACAGAGGACATTAACATCCAAGCTCAGATGTTATTTAAAAATTTATTATTTTATTTTTAATCAAAACACCATAATTGGCTCAGCTGACCCTGTGATTTGGACCTGGTTCCACTTCCCCTCAGGCAGCTCAACAGAGAAAGATGAAGATCTGGGAGGCAATAAACCTTGCTTCAAATTCTGGTTCACTTATTACCAGTTGTATGATGCTGAGCAAGTTAAAAAGTTTCTTTAACTTTAAAATGAGAAAAACAACACTTTATATTCATAAATAATATTTGTAAAAATCAGAAGTAATACATGTCAAGTTCCTAGCTCAGTGCCTGTGGTGCTTAATAAAAGGTCAATATTATTATTATGCAAAATCACAAGTCCCCTGGCCGGTGTGATTCAGTTGGTTGGATGTTGTCCTATGCACCAAAAGGTTGCTGGTTTGATTCCAGGTCAGGGCACATGCCTGGGTTGCAGGCTCAATCCCCAGTAGGGGGTGTGCAGGAGGTAGCCCAATAGACGTTCCACTCTCACATCGATGTTTTTCTTTCTCTCTCCCTCTCCTCCCCGCCCCACCCCGCCCCAAATAATCAATAAATTAAAATAAAATCACAAGCAAAGAATCTGGAAGGCATGTCACACTACTTTTTATCCTCTCCAATTTAAGTTTTTTGGTTCTTTAACTGTAGTCATTTAATTTTAGTAATACTTTCTTGTAATAATTCGAACAATAGAAGTAGCTCAAATAAGTTTCCTCTTTCATTCCCATATTCACTTCAATCCCCTTTGATGATTCCACTATATACTATTTTGCTATGTTGCCATAGTTATACTCAAACAGATTCACATTAAGTCTTATAGAAAGTGATAGTTCCCCTTCCCCCAACACATACACACCAAATCTTTTCCAAGTATTATCTTTTTTTCCTAGTATTATTAATAGTTTGATGGGTAGTCAAAAGATTTTTTCCTGTATTTATACAACCATATATTTTTTAACAACAAAATGAAGTCACATTACATATGACGGTTTGCAGCTTCCTTTTTTTTTCAGTAATGATATAATCGGTACTAGTGGCAGACCAACAGCAGGAGGGTGGGTGAGCTCTGCCCTGGGTGCAAGCAATCAGGGGGTGCAATGTCTGTACAGAATTTAAATCAATGACACAAAGAGCTGAAAGACCGTCTTTTATTACCACCAGGCACTGGCAATACTGAATAATGTCACTAATAAAATACTCCTAAACCAAAAGTCTTGCTTTGGTTAATCTCCAACATTTATAGGGAACTCATACAACTTAACAAAAGGAAGATAAACAATCCAATCAAAAAATGGGCAAAGGACCTAAATAGACACTTTTCAAAAGAGGACACTCAGAAAGCCAAGAGACATATGAAAACATGCTCAAAGTCACTAATCATCCGAGAGATGCAAATCAAAACAACAATGAGGTACCATCTCACACCTGTCAGAATGGCTAGCATCAACAAATCAACAAACGACAAGTGCTGGAGAGGATGTGGAGAAAAAGGAACACTCGTGCATTGCTGGTGGGAATGCAGACTGGTGCAGCCACTATGGAAGACAGTATGGAGTTTCCTCAAAAAGTTAAAAATGGAACTCCCATTTGACCCAGTGATCCCACTTCTAGGAATATATCCCAAGAAACCAGAAACACCAATCAGAAAGGATATATGCATCCCTATGTTCATAGCAGCACAATTTACCATAGCGAAGATCTGGAAACAGCCTAAGTGCCCATCAGCAGATGAATGGATTAGAAAATTGTGGTACATCTACACAATGGAATACTATGCTGCTGTAAAAAGGAAGGAATTCTTACCATTTGCAACAGCATGGATGGAACTGGAGAGTGAAATAAGCCAGTCAATGAAAGAAAAATACCACATGATCTCACTCATTTATGGATAATAAAGACCATTATAAAAATTGATATAGAGGTAGAGCAGCCTCGAACAGACTGTCAAACTACAGCCGGAAGGCTGGGGAGGGTTGGGGAGCAGGAGGGAGGGGTAAGAGATCAACCGAAGGACTTGTATGCATGCATATAAGCATAACCAATGGACATAAGACACTGGGGTGTAGGGGAGGCCGGGGGATTGTCAAGGGGGGAAAAAAAAGGAGACACATATAGTACTCTTTGTAATACTTTAAGCAATAAAAAAAAAAAATCTTGCTTTGGTCTAAGTCCTAAACAATTGCTGAGGTTGTTGAATTTTAACAATATATGTTACAAATTGACAGATTTTTATAGTTAATCTTCAATAAACGTTGTATTCTACACTGGAGTTAATTTTGAGGACTCCCACTTTAAATAGCCAGTCCTGAACAAAGTTGAAATCAGCTGTTCATTTCAAATGTAAATTCCCAGTAGCTAAGAATCATTTCAGTTTTCTCTGGATGTTCAGCTCCTCCAACCTCTGGATAATTAAATATTCTTGCATTTAACCAATGATGGCAGAGCAACTGCTGAAATAAAACCCGAATTAGTTTCAAATCTACATCACCATACCATTTTTTGTACTTAAATTTGTATGTTTTTATTTGTATTTACAACTTTCATAAATGCGGAAATATCGGGAGCCATTAGAACAGTTTTCAAAGAAACAAAGACAGCATTGCAATTTCTGAATTTATTGTAAAATGTGATTTTTATAAATCTCTTTTAGACTTCATTTGAAAAACTTTTTGAAATGTATAATAAAAGTATTTTCAATCAACTATGACTCAAGACAGATTGATAAATCTGATATACTATTTTAAGTTGAATATGCAAAGGTCAAATTTGATGAAGTCATTAATAAATTTGCATAAGTTAAGAATCAAAAGCAAACTATAATATTATTACCATTACTGTAACAGACCAATATGTAGGTAGATATGTTTTTCCTCCTTTTTTCAAAAACTATATTAATGTACTTAAAATGATTACTCTCTTACTTTTTCCTTTTGCTGTTTTAGCACATTTAAATTGTTTACTTTTTTAATGGTATAATTACGTGCATTAAGTTAAAAAATACTATCTGCATTTTTTTCTTATCATTATTCTTTAACATCAGGATTATTATTACAAATAATTTTGTCGGGGAGGGGTTTAAAGATGATCTATTCTAGTGTCAAGTATGATAGGTACACTGCTCCTATGGACCTCTTTCCAAGGTCACACAGTGAGAAAGGGGTAGAATCAATAGTAAAAATCTAGTTTTCTGCTCTTTTTTGCTATATAATGCTGTTCAAACAAAACATAGTGAGTCATGAGGATTG